CGCCTTGGCTCCGTCTCTGCAGCCGGCTTCCCTGCTCTGATTCCTGGGAGCTCTGCCGCACTCAGGCACCCCCGGTCTTTCTGTGACCCCGAGCGTCCTGAGACCACACTGTCCCGCGAGGGTTCCACCCACCGCTTAGCCACTGGAGCGACGTCCCTCAGCGGAGCCGGCTTCTAAAAGTTCCGATTTTGTGCTCCGCGGCTCTATCACTTGCCAGAAGCGGTCGACGGAGGCCCCCTCCCCCGCCGTCTCTCCTCCCGAATATCGCCTCGGATTCACTTCTCCGCACGTCCTACCTTCCACAAGTGGTCGCTTCTCTGTTCAGAGAGTTGTTGCTACTCTCTTCTTTGATCTCCTGTTGAGTTCGTAGGTGTTCAGAATGGTTTGATCTCTATCCAGCTGAATTCCTGAGACCAGACGAAGTCCAGGTCTCCTACTCCTCCGCCATCTTGCTCTGCCCTCAGAACTTGTTTTGAAATAAAGCATCCTAGTGGTAATTACAACAGGTCTTAATTTATTCCTCTAACATTTCTTTTTAATATTCAACATGGGGAAAATGTGACTGTGGCTTCTACATCTATTCTCCAACTAGAATATGATTCTAGTTTCAGAAATCCTGTTTCCCTGAATCTAAATGTTGTTTTCCATCCTAGTTGGCCATATCATGGGACCAGATAGGGAATTCATGATTATTTACCCTCACTTCATGCTTCCACCATTGTTATCTAATTTATTTCTCATATGAAGTATGTGTCATTATCCTCAACTTAAAGATTAGGGAATTAAGACTCCAAGAACAAAGTAATCTTTCCAAGACCACCTACCAGGGAGTGGTGGGAACTGGGATTCAAATGTAAGCCTTCGAGATCTGGTGTTTGGGTTTTTTCCCAGGCTATTGTGCCGCTCCAGGGCAGCTAGCTGGGGCCAGCTGTGAAGGATAGGGTAGGAGAAGAGATCTGAGGCAACAGCTCAGTTAGGAGCTGGGGTACCCTTTCTTTGCTTCTCCAGATTCTCTCTCTACCTTCCTCCCCCTGGTGTGCTCTGGAGGCTGGTGCACACTAGCAGTATGGAGGGCTCCCTTGTCCTGCAGCTCTAGGAGCTCAGAGCGGGGCGGGGGGGTGGAGAACAGCAGGACGTTGTTTACTTCTGGCCTCTCTGCCACATCACAGTTATTGGTGGCATTTCCCCAAGCAGCTATCCTGTGCAGATTCCAAAAACCTGTCCCTCATTATTTGCCATTATTTGCCACTCCGGGCCTGCATGTGGTAATGTGTCCCTACTGTTATGTTGTTATATTGCCCTTGTTAATTTCTCTTCCCACATCTTTGTAAAATATCATCTGTGTTACATTTTTTCCTCAAATTAGCTGGTTGGAGTGTGCCATTTTTTTTCCTGCTGATTCCCGAGAGACACCAGTAATCATAATAGCACTGGGTGCTTTTTAATTTGTATTGTTTTTACTTTTCGCAGATTCATCGCTTCTCCAACAATTTTTATAGTGATTTGAGTGGTGTGATGACAATTCAAGCAAAGCCACTGCAGCAGAGACCTACCTATTTCTCAGATAGAACACAGTGAGTATAAGAAATAATTACCCCACCTCTTCTGTATGCTGGATACCCTTGCGCACTGAAGATTACAGAGGTTGTGGGATAAGGAGCATCCTGTTTAACCCCATATTCACTAGGTGTGCCTGAGCCCATTTGGGAAAGGAGACAGCCACGCATAAGAATGAAGACACACTATTCTAACATCAACCACAAAATGATCACCGTTAGGTTAGGGCAGATAAGTAAGGGGAAGAGAGCTGTGAATTCTTTTTTTTTTTTTTTTTTTTTTTTAAAGATTTTATTTATTTATTTGAGAGAAAGAATGAGAGAGAGAGAGCACATGAGAGAGGGGAGGGTCAGAGGGAGAAGCAGACTCCCTGCCGAGCAGGGAGCCCGATGCGGGACTCGATCCCGGGACTCCAGGATCATGACCTGAGCTGAAGGCAGTTGCTTAACCAACTGAGCCACCCAGGCACCCGAGAGCTGTGAATTCTTAATCTTGTGGGCTATACTGTAGGATTACAATCAGTGAGAACCTTAGATTTTTCCCCCCTGTGGAAGATTCTTCATTGAAATAGAAATTGAATTGGAAATGATAGCCTGTCCATTCATTCAACCAGTATTTAGGAGCATCTTCTTGAGCCAGGCATTGTCCTAGACGATACCTAGTAACGGATACATGTATATGTGTCCTGTTGTCCTGATGCTGACATCTGAGTAATCAGCTTGACTTCCACCCATCCCCCAGGAATGAGCAAGAGGACAGATCATTGGGTGCAGGGCCCAGTGCCCTTTCTTTGGCACGGCACCGCCTGGGACGAACCTCCTCCGATGCTCGCATACTCCACACTTCTGAAAAGAAAACACCTGCATACACGAGGCTGCCTTCTCTTACTTCAGACTCACAGAGGATGAAAACCCCCAATGTGTACAATGATGAAGTTCTTAGGGGAACAAAACTGTAAGTTCTGTCTCTCTCCTAGTAGACCAGATGTCACAGAAGATGGAGACGCTTGCCAGTTAGGGCTTATGGATTCGTATGCACGAAGCATCCTCTATCAAATTGATAGAACTACTTTCCAAGTAGTTCATGAATTTGAGTATTTCACATGAGTTGTGTTGCAGTAGTCGAGTTGACTATATACTTGAATATAGAGTCAGGTAATGTACCCATAGCCGTGCCATAAAATGCAGCTGTAATGGTGAGGTGATCTTGGATGGGAATTCGGTGGCCTCATCTGTAAAACTAACAGTTAGCCAATGCTTTCAAATTACGTAATTACTTCTTTCTCATTATGAGGTTCAAAAAAATTAATGTGCATAAAATGCTATACAAATAAAAAGGACGTATATAACTATTAGTTTTTTGTTTGTTTCAAATTTTTATTTAAATTCCAGTTAGTTAACACAGTGTGATATTGGTTTCAGAAGTAGCATAACTATTAGTTTTTATTTATCTCTAAGGCTATGTTTCGCTCCACGTGGGGAGTTTCAGAAAAGCTTTTGACCTTAGGGATCAACTTCAAATCATTGCCTTGTTAGAAAGGAATCTGTCCCCTGCTTCACTGCAGAATTACGAAGGAGCAATCCAGCTTTCTCACTCATAAGGGCCAGTGTTTATTGGGTGCATTCTGTCACCAGCACCAGCTAAAGGAATCACATTTATTATTTATTCCCTGCCACAAATCTTTTGAGTTGGTCCTTGTAGTATCCCAGATCCGGGGTGAAGAGACAGAGACTGAGAGAAGTTGCATAAGTTTCCCGAGATGATCCCACGGGGGAGAGAGAGGCAGAGCTGGGACTCTGCACAGTGCCGTTGCACTTTGGGGCCCCCTGCCTCCTGCCTTGAGGGAGCCAGTGTTTAAGGGGTTGCCTTAGGCTCCCCCCGCCCTGCAGGGGTCGGGGGCAAGAGCAGCTGCCAGGGCTTAACCAGCCCCTAGGTTTTTCAGGATGCATTCCACAGTGCCAAGCCACGATTGGTTTTTTGGTGGGTCACTGTTTCTTTCACAGTCTGAAACTGGTATTTCCAGCGTTATTTGGGGTATTCCAGTTATCTGGGGCTATTTGCTCTGGCAGTTCTTTCAGGAGCTCTCCCCCTCCTCTGTTCCCACTGGGGACCACCAGGGACACTTCCCCCGTGCCAGTGTCACTAGCACCTCGCTGGCTGTCTTTTCCTCCCTCCCAGCCCACCTGGGCTCCACCGTCAGGCTTTCATCCTAAACCTTTTCTGTTTTCTATTGAAGTAAGTCAGATGCCTCCAGCTGTCCATTCCCTTCATGCTCTGGCCCCTTCCTATCTGTAGACCTGTGTTTTTCAACTTTTTTGTTATTACTGGAGCCCTTTTAGACTCTTTTTCCTAATTCCTCCCCCACCCGTGGAATTTTAATGCCACAAATATACTGTACAGTCTATGTACTGTTCTTTATATCTGTGTTTTATGCATAAAAAGAACAAGGTTTTTTTTTTTGGTCCCACCAACAATTCATGTTTGCCCCTTGGGGGCAATGTCACCATCTTTGACTCTGCCTTCCTGTATCTTCCCATTACTTCTCCTCACCCATCTTGACTGGGGGCAGCCTTATCATCTCTCCGACCCACAAACAGACCAGCTGTGTGTGTTCTGACTTCCGTGATTTTGTTCGTGCTCTGTCTTTCACTTTTATTAAAAATAACCTTTTTTTTTTAACCATCAAAGTACAACAAGTTCTCTGTGGAACATTAGAACAATACCAAAAATGTGAGTAGGTATCAAAGATCCCCTGTATGCCCAACACATAGAAACAGAGAAATGATAACTTGGCAAGATGACTACCAATTTTGTCTGTGGTTATGTTTCTTCTTTTCTCTTCTTTCCCTTATCTTTTCTCTAATACTACATTATCCTACTATTGTAGCACTTTCTCATATGATTTTTTCACTTAATTTTATTCATATTTTCCATGTTGTTAAATATTTCTGAAAGCATGATTTTAATGACTAGAGAAAAACATGTGGGTATGTGATAATCTATTAAGCATTTTTTCCCATTATGGAAACTTTTCATTCCTTCTATATTTTCACCATTATAATGTATAGTGAACATCATTTTTTAAAAGATTTTATTTATTTATTTGTCAGAGAGAGAGAGAGCATGAGCCGGGGGAGGGGGTGGCAGAGAGAGAAGCAGACTCCCCGCTGAGTAAGGAGCCTGATGAGGGACTCAATCCCAGGACCCCAGGAAAATGACCTGTGCCGAAGGCAGAGGCTTAACTGACTGATGAGACACCCAGGCGTCCCTGAACATCATTTTTATATAAATCATTTTTTTAAGTTTTTATTAAATTCCAGTTAACATACAGTATAGTATTAGTTTCAGGTGTACAGTATCATTTTATATAAATCTTAATAAGGAAGACTTCAAATTGTGTCCTGGTGGTACAGTCCTAGAAGTAAAGCTACCAGGTCAAAGGTTATGGATATTTTTAAGACTCTTGAAATATTTTTCCAAAGCTCTTCCCAGAATGGTTCTCACAATTCATAATCCCACTGGCAGGACACAAGGATCTTTCCTTGCAGCCTCGAAACTATGGATAGCATATGTATTTTAAAACATCACAGGTCAAAAGGGTCATATTTTAACTTTCATAACTTTATTATTAGTGACTAAATGAATTAGCGTCTTATCCTAGACTATCCATCTCCATTCTTGTGTATCATTCAAAACCTTGGATTCCTTATTGATTTCCATCTGGATGATCATGTTTTCAGGAACCTTCAAGGGCCTGGCACAGCCGAGCACTCAGTAAATACAGGTTGACATCACTGCTTGACCAAGGAGGAGGTGACTGGAGCTGGTGGTCAGTCCCTCTCCGCATTTGTCTTGCTGACACTCTGCTCATTTTACGTGAGCATTTGTTTTTGGAAGGCAGTTGTGATTAGTAGTTCAGTTGGGGAGCTTCGGGTGGGGTCTGGCTCCTGCTGTCTGCGGCTGGCTGCTCAGCCGAATGTTGTTTTGTTTACAGGCAAACTGGCATGGAGTGTGTGTCCTCCCCACTGGTTCAAGCCTCCCGGAGCAGGTTACCCCCAATAGGCTCAGAGACCGGTGAGCAGAATATGGCAGTTCCTGGATCTCGACCTGTTTCTGTAAGACAGATTTCATTCTGTTTAAGTGCACCATGTAGATTGTCTCTTGGGAAACAAACAAGCAGAATATAATGTTGGCCCTTCACAGTGAACTCAGTGCCATCAAATGTCTCATAATCTGCTTCCTGAAAGTAACTGGCTTGCGACAAGGGACAGGAGGTGGGAGGGTTAATTCACTGTTTTGTGAAATACAAACATGATATGAACTAAGTCACAAAGTCCAGGTGTCAAGGAACATCTGATAGGATGGTAGAGGGAAGCAAAGAGCATGAAGGTCAGGTCAGGAGACAGGGAGATCTGTGTTTGAACCCTGCCAGGTAAACTCTGTATGACTTGTAGACATATTCTCCCTGCGCCTTAATTTTCTCACCCGTAAAAGGGCCAACGTGATTCCTTCCTCAAAGAATTGTTATAAGGGTGAAAAGAATTTATAGATGGTAGATTATGCCTGCATAAAGTAAGATCTCAGGAAAACACCTGTGGCATTTTTATCAGGCCATATTCTCACACCTGCACCCACGCTCAACGCAGCCACATGATGGCAAATGGTCTGGGCAGGTCTGGGGTCCCTAGTCTGCATAACCACATTTCCCCCCAGATGTACGATGACTCCTCACTTCACTCCCATACAAGTAACTTGTCTCTGTTTCGCAAAACACAGAAAGACCCCAGTTGTGGGAGCATAAAGGACTAAAGAGAAAACCCAACAGAAACGTTTTCTCTTGGATTCCTTTGCCTCCTCCAGTACTTCAATAGAACCCATTCCTAGAGAGGCAGGAGTTGCAAAGGGTTGTTGTGTAACCTTAGCATGTTGTGGCTTAAAGTAAGGTCATAAAAGAAGGCAAACATCAAAAAAAAAAAAAAAAAGTCTGATGCTTCACAAATGCAAAATTACATGGCTATTATAATTTAACAGTAAGAATTTTTAAGTTTTTGAATCCATGTTTATTTCTGAGGTCAGTACCATTTAATCAGGTTACATAATAAAATTACATAATTAAAATGTATATTGATATTCATGTGTGATGGACCTTATACTTCACAGTATAAAAATAAGTTTTGAATTAACAAGTGAATGAGCACATAGAGATCTTCTTTTGCCTTTTTTAAGGATTGCATTTACCTTAAACCAGAACATATTATCCTTTATTCAGTACAGAGGGAGGCACCCACAAAACCGTGTGCTAAGTGCAATTCCTGACAGTTCAAAGCGATTGCCTCTTCGAGAGAGATCTCTGACTATAGAACACTTTTCAAGACCCAGCACGACCCATGCATTTCGGGTGGGTTGCCTGTTAACCCTAAATATGATTTTTAAAAATGTCTGAAACAATAAAACTCATCCCTCATTTTATTTTTCTTCCAACAGTTAGATACTCCCCGGAAAGTTTCATTGACCCTGATGGAATTTGCTGGCCACACATGGACAAGTCAGAGTTTCGTCACAGGTCAGTTTTCTCCACATATAAATAAAATGATATAATAGGCGAGGTTTCAAGTTTTGGAAAGAGAAATTGAGGATTATCTACCTTAACAGGACGATTTTGACCATGTAGGAGGAAATACCAAGTGTTTCTCTGCTATGTCCAGACACAGAAGTCTCTACAAAGAGCAAAACTGCAGAGATATGCACCTATCTGCTATTCAGCATAAAGGGGGAAATGTGCCCAAACACTCTTCATTAAATCAGTGCCCTCACTCTCAGCAAAAGGAAAATTCTGTCTCATGAGTCTTATGAGAAATCAGTGTCTCTCTCTGCAATAGAGTTTTCATGTTTTCCATGAAACCCTAATCTTAGTTCTCTTTGAAGACCTAATTATAAAAATGCTTTATAAAATTAATACAAATATTCTAACTATTTTATAATGGAGAGTTGTACAGATAAATACTTATTTTCAGCTATTTTTAGAGTAAAGTTTCTAGTCTGAATTCAGGCCACTAATGTTTCAGTTTTCAAAACTGTTGCCAGCATTTTTGTTTAAGGAGGCAACATAGGGTCGTCATGAGTTGTGATATTCTGGAATCAAATGCCTGTTTTCCATCCTACTTGCTGAGCTGTCTTAGGAGAGCCTCAACCTCTCTGGGCCTCAGGTTCCTCTTTTGTAATAGGCTGGGTGGATAAAACCATTGTTGGAAAAACATATGCAAAGGACTTAGCTAGATTCCAGGCATCTATTCTTGTTTAAAAATTATGAATAATTCGTATCTAGATAATCTGAAATGTAAAGGATGATTTGCTATTTTAAGGCAAATGCTATAGTTTAGAAAATAAATCTGGTAAAAGGGAAGCACTGGGACAACACAGCAATTTTATCACTGTTTACACCAGCCCTTCTATAGCTCTGTAGCGTAGTGGTGTCGAAGATTCTTAAGCCCTTTACAATTTTTCTCCTATGTGAATAGCACTAAGCTACTGTGACTTTCTGTTGCTTTTCTTTGTATATTCCCTAGCATCACTCACTCTTACTGTCAGTGATGGTGATTTGTTCTCTAAAAGGCAGCCATGCCATGTTATAAGTATCGGTCTGACTGGTAGATGGTTGGAGGAAAGTAGGCATCAAAGCATGTTTATTAATAAATAACAATGTGCCAAGTGCTCACTCTGTGCCAAGTTCTGTGCTGAGGGCCAGCATTCAAACACCGAGGATGTTTTGGTCTGTGCCTCAAGGAACACTCAGTGTAGTAGGGAAGAGGGATAGGACCACGAGGGAGGTGAGCAGGACCGCCAGCTGGATATGCAGATGGGTAAACAGACAGAGAGGCTTCCCAGAGGAGCCAAGAGCCATGCCATGCAGGATGGGCATCACTTGGTATGTGAGAGAGAGAGAGAGAGAGAGATTCCATGGGTGGCCAGGAGACCGTGGTGCTGAAGGAGAGAGCTCATGGAATTCTGATGAATTCATTTTTGGAGATGTTGCCTGTAGCATGTTGACCGGAGCTATCTAATAGTTTGTTGGGCACACCAGATTAGAGGTTCGGAGAGGGAACTGGGCTCTGAATTTGTTTTAAATCTGCACACTTAATTTTCCCCCAATACCAAGTCAGTATATTCTCTTATCGATAATTTTGTGACTATTGTTATTGATGGTCAGAAGCCTTTTTCATTTCTATAAGAGTAACTGAGGGTACATGAGAGAGATATTCTTGTATTTCTAAGCATTTATTTTCTTTTCCTCTGAGAAGCAGGTGTGTAATCTCTTTCTTAACCTTTGCTTCCAGGTCAGAAACAACAGGAGCTATTAACTTATCAACATTTGTTCTGTGGCAGAAAAAAAAAGAGAAAAGGAGAAGCTGTGGGGTATCCCCAACAGTGGGAAGGATCTCTTCAGGCAGCTGACATTGCTTCTGTCCCCATGAAGTAGTAGGACCACCAGAGCTAACCACTCAACTTCCTGGGCCTCAGGGATCCACCTCTGGGTAGAAGGTTCTAGCAAACCCACCTGCTCTCAGAGTACACAGGGCCAGCACCGAGGCTTTAGTGGAGGGGAGCCCCCTTCTTTCTCCTCAGGACCCCAAACGACAGTTTTTGTCTATTTCCTGGTTTATGTAAAAGTGACATGAAAATAGTTTTTTTCTTTTTTAAAAATATCATCTGCATGGAATCCTTTTGAGAGCTGGAATTATTAACATTTTAATGAGAGTTACTTTTTGGTTGGTGTTTCAGGTTCACAATATCCGCCTAAATCTTTTCAGAGGACGACTCTGACTGCAAGAAAGAGATTCCAAGTGGCATCTTGATGGAACTTGGACTTCAAAGCCTCAGCACACCATTTATCACTTGAAAAATGGAAGAACAAGTATTATATTATGTATCTGTTTGTCTGACAGTGAGATGTGAGCCTGTCTGAGAGAAATGCAAACAAATAAACAACTTAATTTTGAACACTTGCATTGCAAAGAGAATACAAGTCAAATTCACCAACCTTCTTTATTGGAAGCATTCCAGTAGAGGTTCTTTAGGCTTTGCTCGGAAGAATCTGATCTGTGTTTATCATCCATCATTTTATCAATTATACACAGACACACATGTAATTAGTGTATGTTTACACACACTACTTAACAATGTGAGAGGATATTATCTAGGAATATGCCATTTTGTAATGTTGTGTTCTGAAATGTGTTTTGTGTCTCATTCTGTTATTGATCCATCAAAATCCTGGTCACTAATAGATATCAGAACCTTCTCTAGAAAATAGCAAAGCCATCTTTGGTCCAATATGCCAGTTTAACTAAGGTTCAGATGATCCTAATTGTTGCGCTGACTTTCTTACACCTTTTTTAAAAAAGTACTTTAGTCACGAGCTTCTTTGAGGAATGTCAGTGGCTGTCTCCCGAGCCAATTAGGTTTTACTGGTTTTCTTGCTCCAACTCAGACAGTTTATTCAAAAGTAGCCCAAACTTATTGATTTTTAAACCATAATTAAAATATATTGCGTATGGTTTCCTCTTCGTTGTTCGCAGGCGAAGGTGTTCATCCACTGGAGGAAGGTTTCAGCAGACCTCTTCCTTATTTGATCCCAGTGTGACCTTTGCTCAGGTGTCACCTCTGCCATAAAGCCTTCCCGATCCCTCTGCCTAAAGTAGCAGTTCTCTCCTCTCTGTCTCCTTGCCCTGCTTTGTTTTCCTTCAGAGCATGTGTCCCTATCTGCTAGTCATATGGAAAATGGAATAGGGAATGCCAAGAAGTGATTGATTGGAGGCCGGGCTCTAGGGCCATTTTCTTTTCTCCCCCACCCCATGTTTTTCCTCTATAGAGACTTGTATCCTTAGGCTCACTTTTAGATTCTCAGATCTCAAATCACCATAATTTCCTTTTTTCTATCAATACTTATATTTTATCAATTTTTTATTAATCCAAAATGAAAGTTTATCTATCATCATATAAATGTATAATAAATTATTTTCAGACATATTTCTGGTTGTAAGAAAAGAGGATCTTGGCCTATTTATAGATGTCTGCAATTGAAAAGTGTGTTGGGACTGGAATTAGCGTTGTCCTTGACCACGGAGTGACAGAACAAACATGATGCTAGCTAGAGTCATCATGCCTCTGACTGATCATTTCTCCCTTACATTCCTGACTCATTTCTTATAGTAATGGAGCATGTTAGGGAGTAGATGGATGGCCAAAGCTCTGTAACTCTAGGTAATATTTTTAATGCTCAGTTACCCATACAAAGCAGACTGGAGCATTTTGAGAATTTTCTAAACTCTCCCTCAACATCAGCTTATAGAAACTTTCAAGAGAAAATATCATTTTTTTTTTTAAGATTTTATTTATTCATTTGACAGAGAGAGACACAGCGAGAGAGGGAACACAAGCAGGGGGAGTGGGAGAGGGAG